CATCGACATAATCAACTAAACAACTGACCATAGCTGTTTAAAAATATTTTCTATTAATTTTTATTCTTACCCTATAATTATGACTTTCCCAACCTCTCAGAATGGTAAGAAATCTGTAGCCTTCTAGTATTTCATTCCAATGATAGTTATCATCAGCTGCACATCCTTCCACATCTCAGCTTTAATATCTGTAAGTTGAATGTTCTACACCAGTTCTGTTTTTCCCCCATTCTCAGTAGTGATGCATAAAGTTTGCCATACTTGGGATGCTTACCATCCCAAGTATGGCAAACTTTCACATTTTGAAGACCAATTAATTGTACACATGTGTATATGCTTAAATAATAGTTATTAATGAAACTTTATTGATGTTTAACATAGAAAAATGTGCATAGAAATAAAGGTACAACTTAGTGGTTTATCAAAAACAAACACCCGTGGAACCACATCTAGGTGGAGGAATAAAACATTGCTATACCCAAGAAGTGTGCCTGGAGCTCTCCTAATCACCACCTATCTTTCTCTTCCCAAGAAGAAACCACTTCAGAATCATAGTATTATTTGCATATGACATCTTTTGGCTCAATATTATGTTTATCACTTACTGTGTTCCATTGCATCATTATACCAGAGTGCATTTATCCATTCTACTGTCGATGGACATTTGTTATTCAGAATTTTTGGCTCTATGATTAATGTTGCAATGGAATCCTATGTCTCTTGTTCACATATACTTACATTTCTATTTATTATATAACTACAGCCTGTACAACGATTGGATAAAGAATGCATATATTCCACTTTACTCCAGAATGCTTAACCGTGTTTCAGAGTGTTTATAAAATTGCATTCCAACAAGCATAGTGTGACAGATCTACTACTTTTTATCCTCACCGACACTTGATATTTTAGTCTAATATTAGTAGTTCTGGTTAGTGTGTATTAAGTATTGCACTATAGCTTTAATTTGCATTTTCTTGATTATTTATGAAATTGAGTACTTTTTCATAGGTTTGTGCAATTTGGCTATACTTTTTTGGTGACATGACTGTTCAAGCCTAGTAGTGCCTTTTTCTTATATATTGTGAATATAAATCCTTTGTTATATTAATGCTGGCAAGTTCTAAAGTGTATGTTCCTATTCAAATTCCTGATATTAATTGCTTTTCCTCTTTTTTACATAAATTTCAGGTATACATTATAATTCAATATCTGTATACTATATTGCTTGCGCAAAAAAGTCTAATTTCCTTCCATTACCATATATTTACCCATCTTTACCCAAACACCACTCTTCCTCTCGTAACCACCATTCTGTGTGTATCTGAGTTTTTGTTGGTTTGGTTCGATGGTTTATTATTCTAGTTTTATATTCTACACATGAATGAAATCATGTTTTTTGCCCCTTTCTGTCTATTTCACTTAGCATAATACTCTCAAGATCCATCCATGTTGTCACAATGCAGTAATGGCTGAGTAGTGTTCCATTGTGTGTGTGTGTGTGGGTGGGTGGGTATGTGTATTCATATATATATATGACATAGGGGTATATATTTCTTTACAAATTAGTGTTTTTATATTTTGGGAGTAAATACATAGAAGAAGAATTGCTGGATCCTGTAGTAGTTTCACCTAATTTTTAAAGGAATCTCCATGATGGTTTTTTTTCAAGGCACAGTATACATTTTATTCTGCATGGTTGTTGTACAAAAAAGTCCCACTTCCCTTGAGAAACAGTATCATATGTAAAACACACTTTGAACACTGAATATTAAAATATTACATAATACCATATAAATGAAGAGAAGTGAACAAAAATAACACAGCCTTCCACTCATCAAAATTCTAAGAATATACCACAGCATTGATAATATGAAGGAAAATGCTTGGAATTGTGTTTAAATTCAAAATTCTTCTGGTTGTTCTCCACTGAGAGGCGAAAGGTAATCAGGTTACCACCAAAGGACATGTGTTCGACATGTTCTCGACGTCTCCTCAACAGGAGTGAATGGATCACTGCGGTTTAGGCCTGTTGAACCAAGAAGATGACATTCAGTCATAGACTTTTATTATCAAATAACACTGACTGGGAAATTTTAGTCTCTTCTTGTGAGATGTTATTTCACTTTAGTGGCTGCACCAATTTACAGTCCCACCAACATTTGTTATTTCTTATCTTTTTGATGATAGCCCTTCTAATAATTAATGATGTTGAACACATATTTTCATATGTCCATTAGGTCCCTTGCCCATTTTTAAATTAGATTGTTTGCTTTTTTTTGTTACTGAGTTGTCTAAGTTCTTTATAGATTTTGGCTACTAGTCCCTTATTGGGAATATCATTTGCAAATAACTTAGTCCATTTGGTTGGTTGCCTTTTTGTTTGTGGATTGTTTCTTTTGCTATCCAGAAGCTTCTTAGTTTAAAGTAGTCGCCATTATTTTTGCTTTTGTTTCCCTTGCCGTTTAAGTCAGTGTGCATTAATTTAGAGCCTATGTTTTCTTCTATGTGTTTTAGTTCTTACATTCAAGTCTTTATAATAAATCTTTAGTTAATATTTGTGTATGGTATAAGATAGCAGTCTAGTGACATTCTTTCCCATATGGCTGGACAGTTTTTCCAGCACCACTTATTAAGTAGACTTTCCTTTCTCCATTGTATGTTTTTGGCTCCTTTTGCACAAATTAGTGGACCATAAGTATATGGGTTTATTTCTGGGATCTCAGTTCTGCTCTATTGGTCTGTTTTCTGAAAATATCATATTCTTTTATTAGATGCAAAAATCCTCAACAAAATACTAGCAAATCTATGTTCAGAGCTATTGGCCTTTAATTTTTATTTATTTATTTTTGTGATGTCCTGGTCTGGTTTTGATAACAGGGTAATGTTGGCCTCATAAAATAAGAATTTTTCCTCTTCATTTTTTTTTTCAAAGAGTTTGATATGAATAGGTAAATCTTTTAATGTTTGTTAGAATTCACCAGTGAAGCAATTTTGTCCTGGACTTTTATATTTTGGGTGGCGTTTGATTACTATTTTGTTGTTGTTTTTTGTTTAAATCACCATATTATTTGCTTCCTATTTATCTCATCTGTCCTAGGTTCTTTCCCCCTCCCCCTATTCTTGTATTTCAAAAAATGGATTTTGAAAACAATTCCATCTTTCCATATGTTTTAAAGGACCCCTATTCAGCTATTATAATTTTTTTAAATGTAAAATGTAGAAAGTAAATTAATTCGAGTTTTATGTATACATAATTTTATACTTCCTTTTGAAAACATACATTCTTTTCCATGAACACTATTTAATGGCTACATGGCAATGTATTACACATGGCATTATAGCATGTTTATAAAATTGTACATATATATTTCTTTAATCATTTTCTATTGGACATTTAGGTATTTCTACCATTATTTTACATTGTAAATGATAAAATCGACCATTTCAGACTTCATAGATCTTTATTTACTATTTCCTTTCTGATTTTTAAAAGTTTTACAAATATTAAGTATTTTCAGATGTGTAATTTATTGAAATTCTCTTAATCTTTAATCATAAATGATTAGAAGAACCCTATTAGCCAGTTATTAATAATTTCTGCATGTGTGTATATTGGTGAAATTAGCTCATTTTTTGTCACCTTTGACATTCTAATAAACATCTGTTTAAAATGATGTATCACAATGATCAAATTATGATTTGCCTTGTACCATTTTTCTGATTAGGAATTGTGTACTTACACAATCAATGGGGTGATCAACTTTGCTAAATTAAAGGCCAATAGGTGAAGAGGATGAAAGGGGGGGAGGGTCTAATCTATTCAGTATCAGTATTTCCAAAATAATGTTTGGATAATGGGACTGTTTCATTTCCTCACCAATTCTATGGCAACAACTAGTTGTAACATTTCCAAACATACCTGTGCTGTACTTTGACTTACCTTAACTCATTTGATTTGCAGCCAGTTGTTCATCTCACGATATATTCATTGCTACTCGGCAAGATGACGGCCACCTTAAATCCTTCTTGACCTGACAACTCAAGCCCATTCTCTCCTCCTATCCCTACTGTTGTTCCTGAGATGATCACTAATCCCGAGTCAGGTCAACGAGGGCCAACAAGTATCCATCCCACGCCACGATGTTTTTTTGTCCTTTTGGTAAGTAAACTTCCACTTGCCTGGCTTGTGGTGTTAAGATCCCAAAGCTTTGAGGTAGCTCAAAGGATGCTTAATGCTGACACTCAGAAAGTAGAAACCAGGTCAGGGGAACAGAGAGCTGATGCTATCACCTGAACCCCAAATCTAGTTGCACAAAATTGGGTATTCCTAACCTTTTAATATATGAGCCAATAAACACTCTTCTTTTTGTGTAAGCCAAGTTGTCAGACTTTCACTCACAATAGAAAGTCCTAACTTTATGGGTCCTCTGATTTCCCTCAGAGCACTTGTCACAGTGCAATTTTTATCACTGTTTATTTAATGACAGCCTCTCTGCCATTACCGTGGTCTCCATGCAAGCGGCATCGGTATCTTATTTGTTCACAGCTGCTTCCCTAATGCCTAGGACAGTTCTGATTCATTACTTTTCTTAGCTATGTTCCCCAAGAGTTTAAGAAACTACTATTATGGCATTTTAATTTTTTTATGTGCAGGAGAGCTGACAATTATTTCAGGATGATAAAACTTGTATATATTATAATGCACTTGCATAAATTTATATAGTAGTCATCTCCCACAGAATTAAAGATTGCCCACGATCTCTAAATCGAATGAAAACCAAGTCCTCTTTCTTTGCTGTTAAAACTTAGGCGAACTATTTCTCTGAGCCTCAGTTTGCTTACCAGGAAAAGGGGCTTACCTCCAGGCAGGTATTTGTAGATAGCTTCTTGGTAAGTGGAATTACTATTAGTACAAAGAAACTAATCAGATAACCAGGGGGGAATCTATATAACATTCAAAACCAAGTGGTTGAGTGGACAAAAGCAAAGGCCAGGGCTGCATTACACTGACATTTTTATTAGAATTTATCTGTAACAAATGGAACTTGTGTCAGCAAAGAACTGATTTTCATACAGACTTCTTTCGCCACCAATGTAACGAAGTAAGAAAATAAAAAGCACGCCTTTCATTCTGTAAAACATTTACGCGTACTACTAATTAGAGGTAATTGTATTTTTTAACAAGCCATTTTACAAGTTATTTTTTTTTAATTTTTCAGTCTATGCATCCAAAATGAGAGCAAAGAACACAACTGTTATTATCGTTTTAGACACTCCAAGCTTGGATGGCAAAGCCACGTAACGGATGGAGAGGATGGACCTGCAGCCTTCTGACCTCTGCTGGAGTATCAGGGCACCCATAAACCCAGCGGCAACAAAACCCAACAGAGGAGAAAGAAAAGGTAAGTGAATGAAAAATCAAAAGGAGGGGCTAACCCAAAGCAAAACCGAGAATAAACGGGAAAGAAAAAAAATCTGTACATTACTGCAGAATTTTTCCCCTTCCTGTTTCTACGCCGAGTTATTTACATACACACAAATGAATTTCTGAAGCAGGTTCTTACAGATGGGTTCAAGTAATAACATTATTGGGTGTAGAATCAATAGGGCAGTGCATAGTACAAAGGTATAGAAAGTGCAAAGTTCCCTAGAGGCCCTTCCCTCCCCTGGCTGTCCTCACCGTTGTCTAACCATGCAAATCATTTTTAAAAAAGAGCTAAAATAAAGTTCTGTACAAATCACTTCTTATATATTTTGATTTTTTTTTTTACCATTGTAACTAATTACAAAATTATACATAACTACACGTACATAGGTAAATAATAGCACCGTACTGGTTATGATGATGAAAATAATTGGAAACTTGAGCGTTTATATGGTAATGGCAGATAAAGATGTTCACCTGGGAAAATCAAACTAGAATGGTTTGTACAGAAAAGCACAGAGTGGAATGCACATCAATGACAGGAGGGAGTTAGTTCTCGGAACAGCTCCTGAACAGGAGGACACCTGGAAGTCTCCGCCTTGTTCGTCTATGGTATGCATCCCATTCGTTTCCTTCTCAGGATTCTTCTCGTTCCCTTTGCCAAACGGGCGGTTTTTGTCTCGGGGAGAGAAACTGCTCATTGCGCAAGGGTTCTGGTGTGCAGGACACCGTCTGATTCAACATGGCGTGTCGGCATAATGCGATGTCTGTCTAATGACCCTCTTTGTTTCGCTAAATGAAAATTACAGCACTGAGTAATCTGGCACTTGGATAGCTCTCCAAAAGGTAGGAACTGAAAGGAAACACACCCACATAGTGCACATTCTTCTCTGGTTCTGATGTAGGTTAGAGAGTCTCACTCTGAGGTAGCCTTCTAGATACTTTTTAAAAGTATTATACATTATTTTCTTTTTTTCTTCCTTTTTTTCTTTTTTTTTACAAAAGTGCTCATATATGATACTTGCAAGTGTTTGGTCTCTTGGATTTCATTCTGCTAGTGATGGGAACATGTAGAAAACAGAACATCAATGGAGCTAAGATGAAACCAAAATATTATACCTCTATGGACACTCTTTAGGAGTTCCTTGAACATTTGGAGGATTCTTTAAAATTGTGGAAGATATGGCAAGCTCCTGCCATTATCCATGGCTTCCTATAGTAATTTGGGGGGAGATATATATACACATTTTTAAAAATGTCCCCTTTTAGAAAAGATCCTAATGGAATAGCAAATATATTCCAAAGTGGTCAATGATAGTTGTTACTAAAATAAGTTTGGTGCCTTTTCTGGATGTTCCAGAGCAGATTTGGAAGGGATTAAAAATAAAACCAGTGGCTTTTCCTGATGTGGACAATTACAAAAGGAAGAAGGGCCCTGATTATCCAAGTGCTTTGGGCTGGTACAATCACTAACCTCCCCGACCTGGTTGAGAACTAGGAATGCATATTATTCAAAGAGTTTCTGTACATGTGGTAAACAGATAATGCTTTAATAGGAAGAGTAACATATACGAACAACTAATGGAAATACGAACCAAAAGCTAAAAAGAAATGCTATTAAAATAGGCATCAATTATAAGGCACTCTAAATGCAAAACTAAAACCAAAAAGAAAACAAAGAACAGCACTTCCCAGGAATGCTGTATGCCACGAAATGTTTCTGACTGAACAGAGTAACATGAGTTTGGCTTTGCCCCTGTTACATATCATAAATGCAAATTTCATAGCACATACTATAGACAATATACGATTGAATACACTTTTTTTAAACAACTTGATAGCTGATATATTAAAACATTCTCCCCTCCTAAAGGGATATGCACTGACCTTTCCCACATGCACACCTCTTAGATATTTAATATGTTTTTATTGCACTAGAGTTGTTAGAAATATCGAACTTTGTTGGAAGCCTGGCTAACAAAATGGTACTTGTGAATATGGTTAGGTGGGTGGGTGGGGGGGAGATTGGATAGGAAATTAGGGGGTGAGGTTTGACAATCACTGATGTGCATTCCTCATTGCCCTTAAAAAATTAAAATTTTGTGATATTAAGAAATACCAATGTCATAAAATAATTGAAAAAGATGTTTACAATAGCTTTTCTACCTTAAAAAAATACTAAACCATGGAAGAACTGAATGATAGCTATCTCTATCATTTTGTGTGAACACACTGTCTATATATACATAGACACCCCTATAAAATACGGATATATATGTATATATGTTAGCAGCAACTTTATACTTTGCGCCTCCCTGTTGATTCTAAAAACAAAACAAAACTCGTTGATTATTTGAAAAGAATGGGTACTTTCTTACCAGACAGACAGAAGTGTAAAAGTAATATCTGATGAAACCAATACTGTAGATTGAGTATTGCACAAAAATGTGCAAAATTTCATATGTGATATTTCTACAGCAAGATATGACAGATAACAGTTGTACAGCTGAAAAAAAAAACCCCCTACAATTTGGAAATAAAAAAATGAAGAGTTATGTAACCTTTTTAAAATTTACTTTATAGAATGATAGATACATTTTGTTAAAAAAAAGTTTACACAGTTAAAAATGAAGCACAGGTCAGCAGTATCTTACAATACTAAAAAACTAAATCAAAGACTTTCTTTTTAAACATTCCCCCCTTTTCTCCCTAAAATGTTAGTATGAGCAATATGGTGGGAAGGGGTCATGTCGAAGCAGTTCGTGTTACCATGAGAAGCCACACCAGCAGACATCCACGCGGCACTCCTCCTTGTACCTAGTGAGTGATCCTGAACAAGATGCTGGTTCTTTGTTGAGATTTCTTCTTCCCTTTATTCTGAATCCTTGAGGTATCTGTAAATAAAATCCTCCAGATCCCTCATCAGTCAGGATTCTCTTATTATTTTCAGATTAGATTATTAAACTGGGAATTCTTGGTCCGCCCGGAAGAGTTTTTATTTTTAGTTTATTTTGTGTGTAATAGTCCCACTAAGGGGTTGTTACCTAGAAGTTAAGAAGGACTTCTCAAGTGCCCTGTATGGCTCAGAAGAGACTCCATGGGTATTGAAGGGCCCGCTGTAAAAATCCAAAATGGGTCAGGGGTTTCTACGTTGCATAGTGATCAAAGCTGCCCAGGTACTCGAGTGAGGCTCGATAGCAGAACTGGTACTGGTCCTGCAGGGGGAAGGCATGGCGAGAAAGACGAGAAGGGGCCATGAGCATAGCACATCAGAAAAGTGAAAATCAGTGATAGAAAACAAAGTTGCATCTTGTTGAGGGCAAAATCACTGCTTTCGTCAATCAATACAATCCAATGACCAATCGATTTTAGCGAGCAAAGAGCGATCAGCCACATGGGGTGTTCATTAACCACCAATCAATTGGACTAAAATAGTCTCCCAATTCCAAGTAGTGACAGCTCCAATGAACATTATCTTCCAGACCAGTGTGAACCACTCTCCAAGTCGTATCAAATAACCACCACCTATGGAACGCGTGAGCTCCTTATACATCACAGTCCTCCTTTACAATTACCTGCTTATTTGTGGTAACAGAACTCATTCTCGGTTTGCATATTTAAGAGTTGCTGATGCAGACACACACTGTCCCAAGGAACATTTAGATTCACTTACCTCTGGACTATTGCCAATAGAACTTAAATTTTTAAAAAAGTCTTATTAAACTTTTTAAAAAGTCTTACTAGACAGTAGACCTTGCTACCTATAATCAGAATTACCCAACATCATTTCTGATATATATTTGAGGGAGGCAGCCAAAAGGTATCTGGTGAGGCACACAAAGCCATTAATTTATTCAGGACTCTGGACTTGAAGATTTTCAACTCCTGAAAATGGTTACACAAGACTGGCTGTCCGCATAAAAAAATCCGTGTGCCACGGGCCTAATTCAGTATGACTGCTGCTTTAAAGGCCTACCCTAAAATAACAGTGTGAAACATGTCCTTTTTCAGACAGGGGCGAACACAGTCATTTAGGAATATGTTGGGGTACTATTGGAGAGATGGAAAAATTATAATTTACAGATGAGAAAAAGTAGGGTTTTCCTCATAAAAGAAACTTATTTTCAGTAGCCAATGGGCCTGAAAGTAGATAGTTTCTATTTTGCTTAAATGTGCATTTTTCTACAATAAAAATGGTAATGCAAAATAAATGGAGTTTGCTTTCCTATCTTGTCACAGTAAGTTGCTTGGCTAAATGTTAAGGCTTTTTAAACGTCCAATTTCCCTCTGTCACCCCCAACACCTATTAAGTTTGTCATGCTGACATAATGTTTTGAGTATTGCAAGCCCAATGCTTGCACTGTTTTGAAATCAAAGTCTGAAAGGTCTTGTGAGTGACAAATTTAGGAACACTTATAACCTACAGAACTTGTTGGTCTTTTGATAAACAAACACAATGTATCTATCACTCATATTATCCTTAGAAATGATTAGTCAATGGGCCAGACAGGCCAAATCATGAACTCATATTTTTCTGAGTAATACGAGAATTTACATATTAATTATTGGACTAGAAAATGGGGGGCTAATTTCTCTAGGTCTTGTCCAGGTTCTAAATATTTAAAATGACCATTATTAAGAAATCAACTATAAAGCAGCTGATCTTTAACCCTTTTCGGTCCAACGTCCAGGCTGACTCGACAGACCAGGCGCTAGGAGCAGGTCCAACGTGGAGCTGAGGTCGACACCGCAAACTGCTGCGATTATATGCATTGTCAGTAAGTTCAACGTTCAATCCCGTCAATTAATTTGGACCAGACTGTTTGAATTCCAAAAATAAAATTGGACCGCAAAGGGTTAACATCTAGGCATACAGAAAGAGTATGGAGTGGTGCAATGGGCTGAGGGTCTATTATAAATCAGGCATTGCAATTTTTATAAATATACCACACTAATATATTACACATTTATATGTAAATATTAGTTATATGTATATAACAAACTTGCCATTTTTAGAGGCCAAATATTGTTTAATATGGTTCAATCTACCATATAATCTCACCTAATTCCAGAAACAACTCCAAGATATTGTCACTGTCACTCCCATTTAACCAAGGGATGGATGAGGTTCACAATTTTAAACAATTTGATACTTTTCCTACAATATTTTCCTGTACTTTGCCTCTGATAATCTCTGGATTCCAGAAGGTTCTGGCTAACAAAATCTCTTACTTGGCTCATGAAGATTTTTCTTACCTCTGTCTGTACCATGGCTGGTCGTTGTGTTCTCAACATTTTGACAGTCTGGAAGATATCTACAACTCCTTCATATCTCATTCTCTCCAGAACAATGCTTAGTGTTATGAAGACTCCAGTTCTTCCAACGCCCGCACTGTCACAGAAACAAAGGCAACATTCCTGATGAGATGCTCGAAGCCATGGCTGCATTTACTTCTAAGTGGACATGTGTCCACTAGCTTTCAAAATGCATAATGTCTCCCCCAGCCACGGTCAGGAAAATGTGGTGTTAAAATCACCCATGATTACTCTTGATAATGTGTTGTGGTAACGAGAGAATGAGTGTGGAATAATTAGGATTCAGTCTTCTAAATCAGAATGACTTTCCAATTGGGATCATATGTCTTTTTGGAAAGATCAAGGAAACACGTTATAAAATAAAGGAATAGAAGGAAACGTAAATAATTATAGATTTGTACTCTTCACGCAGATCCTGAAATTGTAAACCTTGCCTGCTTCATATTTTTAAAATATGAAGTAATTCAGATAAGGTGAGGTACACTGACCATGTTCAAGTTCTTTAGAGTTTTACTTCTTGTAGCCACTTAAAATTTGTTCAGGATGTCCCATCACCTAGACATGTAAACAGGAAGGTATATAGACTATTCAAACTCAGATATATATTTTTGATATGAGAAGAGAGTTTCTTTATCAGGGTGTTTTTTTTTTTATACAGAATCCTAATTCAATTTTCAGAATGGGTCTATGAATACCTTATACATATGAGTTGTGAAAATTACATATATATATTTTCTGTTTAATGAAACATAAGTTTAAGAAGTCTCTAAGAGGGGTCTCTAACCTAAATGAAAAAAAAAAACTAGTTAAGAGCTATTTCTTTATACAATTATGTAGCATTTTAAACACCAGAATCCTTTTCACCACATTAACGAGTTTTTGAGTTTCTCTCTGTTTTCGTTATTAAGGTAATTTCAGGATCTTAGTGCAGCAAGAGAAGAAAATTAATTCATAGCTTTTGTGCTCTTAAGAAGTAGAAAAGCATCTGGAGGTTCAGGTAATGAGGAGAAGAGTGAATAATCTGAAAAATCCCTACCTTTTTGGATCCTAATTAAACGGCCTGTGTAATGCTTGGGTACAGGCTGTAGAAAATGGATGGATTCATTTACTTGAGGATGTAGCTGACAAGCATATAAATAGTGTGTCCCTTTATAAACTGGGTTTTCTAAAGAGTCCTAGCAAATGTTAACTGAGGCTTTAAAATCCATGGATAGTCTTTACAAAGTGGCTGAGCATGTCCTGGAGCAGGCAAGGCTCTCTGTTAAGATGGAATAGATGACCTTGAAAATCTCTATCCTCAAAGACTATGATTTATGATCTTTTTGTTGAATGGTCTCTAGGTACTCTAGAGTCTATCTTACCTTGATTTAATTGCTCAAATGTGACGAAAAAAGGTGGGTTTTTTTTTGCTTTCTACCAGACACTTTTAGGAAAATAAGAGGTACTGGCCTTATACCTTCTGAATTATTGACTGTATTATATTATTTTAATAAGGAATATATATATATATATAAAAGCCTAAGTGACCATCAGACTGTTCAACCATTCGACCAGTAGCTATGACGTGCACTGACCACCAAGGGGCAGACACTCTGACCAGTAGGTTAGCTTGGTGCTGAGATCCAGCTGATCTGGACTGGGAGAGACTAGACAGGCCGGACATGCCCTGGAGCCCTTCCACAGTCACTCCCCGGCCCAGATCATGCATTGGTGCCCAGTGGATGATTTGTGCACCGGTGGGGTCCCTCGGCCTGGCCTGCATCCTCTTGCAATCCAGGACCCCTTGGGAAATGTTGGAGAGCCAGATTTGGCCTGATGCCCACAGGCCAGACTGAGGGACCCCACCGGTGCACCAATCCATGCACCGGGCCTCTAGTAAATAAAATAAGTGGTATTTTTAGGATATTCCCAGATAACAGAAAATAATGGGAAGCCTTTAAGATATATATGGTATATGAAGTCATAGAATTTATACTATAGGTGTGTTTAAAGCATTTTGTGATGACAGAAGCAATGGGAAGTCACACACGCACACACACCTTTACATACTTATGGAATGTCTGAAGTTAATGTTTATTAAGTATATTCTTTTCTTTATATTGGACAAGTTTGATAAAAAATTTGGGCCAATTATATGGAAAATTAAGGGAATAGCCAGATAATTTAACTCTTAATATATCTACTTTGTCTGAACTCTTAAGCCAATGTACTATTTCCTACATGCTCTTTGATCGTCTAGAGCAGTGGTTCTCAACCTTCCTAATGCCACAACCCTTTAATACAGTTCCTCATGTTGTGGTGACCCCCAATCATAAAATTATTTTCGTTGCTACTTCATAACTGTAATTTTGCTGTTATGAATCGTAATGTAAATATCTGACATGCAGGATGTATTTTCATTGTTACAAATTGAACATAACTAAAGCATAGTTATTAACCACAAAAACAATATGTAATTATACATGTGTTTTCTGATGGTCTTAGGCAACCCCTGTGAAAGGGTCATTCAACCCCCCAAAAAGGGTCTTGACCCACTGGTTGAGAACCGCTGGTCTAGAGCCAAGGATTTTGGATAACTCAACACAAAACAAATGTGTATAAATAAGGTCCGATCCTCATCCACTATGCAATGCCTGGGACACACAGTGTGCTAGGAAGGGTCTCACAGCTCCCGAGAACACTGAGGTCCAGAGAAACGTCCCTAGTGCCATAGAGCGACAGCCAACAGAGTGGATGGAGCCAGGACTCAGACACTGGAAGCCCCACTCGAACAGTTCTCCTATTTTGAGACCCTGTCTTCCATGTCACTAGGAAATGTAGTTTGTTTTTGTCATTCCTTTTTGAAGCAAAGTCAATTTAATAAATTCAAGATTTTGACCATAAAGAAATTAAAAACTGAGACTTCAAAAGTTGCTAGAACCTAAAAAATAAGTGAATTCCCTTTGTTGGAAGATTTTTGCATAGAAACTTCCAAAAGCACTAAATTTATGGTGAGTGTCCTCTCTGAACCGTTTACTTTCTATATCTATTAACTTTAATACCTGAGTTATAAAACCCTGTGGAAACTATTGAAAATAATTAACTTGAAGGTGCTTCATTTTCTGATACAGCCACAATTTTCAAACAAATTATAATTTTAACTGAGATACCATTCTAATCACTTATTGACTGGCAAAAGTTAGTACTGTCATTAAGGTTTGAGAACTATTTATGGTTTCCCAAGAAGACAAACACAGGAGTAAGACACTGACAGTTATCAGTGTAATGCTATGAATGCAAAAAAAGTAAGAAACAACTGAACTAATTTTCACAAGGGATGGACCAGCAATTCCTATTAAAGTAGGCCAGAGAAACACAGAGTAGTTCTTTGTTACAAGAGGTAAAAGTTGGGGATAAAAACCTTCCTCTGGCTATTTTCCTTTTGTGGAAGGAAAGAGAAGTGAGTACTTGCTTTAGGTTTTACAATACATTTTTTTGAGAATAAAATGTCTATTATGCAGAGTTATTACAAGAAGCTTGTCCTGACAATAGACAACAATACAAACTTTCAAAGTTACCACCACATTAATCACAAGCGGAAACACCATTCCTGATTCTTAGCTCACCTGCAATGGACTGAAATGGGTCCATCTTGGCCAAACTGCTCTTTTGTTTTGTGAACTTGGCCGATGAAGTCAATAAATCCTTCTCCAGACTTTGGCACGCCTTGCTCTGGCCAGTCAGTGAACTGGAACTGTCTCACTGTTCGCGACTGACCGTCCTTCAGGGAGAAAGCCACACCCAGCCAGAGGACGCCAGGAGGGTTCAGCCACGCACAGGCACAGCAGCAAACATGATGGTTTTTCCAGAAAGAAAAAAAATGGGGGGGAGGGGGGGGTAGAAGCATATTTAACTAGGAGCTTATATTCATGTCTTATCTGCTAGGAACACTGTCTCCATTCACATATTTATTTACATTGCAATATTTTTTTTGCTCTCACAATTCCCACCTCATAAAGAGTCATCTAGTTCCTATATTAGTACATTTTGAGTCCCCAAGTTTGTCTCTGAAACCAGGTGGAACCTATACACTCTTCCAAAAATTTGTGAATCCAATCACTTCTTAATATTGAAAGGAGCGTCCAGGCATGTCATCGAGAGCAGAGAGTTTGCGATTGACACAACTTTGCGTCTGCTCGGCTTGCTTATTTCTAGCATTGCGAAATGACAACAGTGATGTGGAAAAGAGCGGACACAAATGAGGTAGCTGCTGTTGACCTGGACGGCCCACATGTCTCAGAGGCATACAATTTCCAGACAATGGCAGGACATACAACATGCGCCTTGTGACCGACTATGCTGCTGAGTAGGAAGTGAGGCATCCCTCAAGTAGATCAGAGAGATTGCTAGCACACAAATGCGCTATTCTCCAAAAGGACGCTTCCTGGCTGACCACGGGAATTAAGGCGTGTAGGGGGTTTGAACTCAGACAAAGCCAAACACGGAGAGGAAACAGGAGATGGAAAAGAAGACCTTCTTTTTTTCTACCGTGATTAGCAAGCAACACTGCTTTGACTCATGAAGTATAAATGGTTTGAAAAGAAGATACTAAGGCATTGCTGATTCCTCCCGGAATTTTACAGTATTTTTGGAAGACAACAAAAGTAGAAGGGGCTTCTGTTTACAGGAGCAGGAATAACAGTTATGCCCATCACCTTTCTCCCCAGAATCTGTGAAAAGCCAGAGGCTAGACAATGCAGGCCTGTCGTCCTCTGAATGTTCTTTCTGACCATAGTTGCTTTCAACAGCAAGAAGAGGTCTTCAGCACAAACCCTTACTCTTCAGCGGAGAGACCACCTGGCTCTACTTACAGGCTACCTGTTTAACAACACTCTATCCTTAAGTGCCAACTTGCTTTCTAAACTGGGAAGCTGAGATTAGAAACACACTAGGAGCACAGACAGCAAATGTTTTGTCAGCTAGGAAGACTATTCAATCACAGGAAGCCTTTAAAAAGCAAACAAAGGCATGCCCAAGTTTCTGCTTCACTGTTTCTTTTGAGTATTGTGATTAGATTTAATTTGGGCAGGAGAGCAGTGGCGAAGAATGTTATCTCTGGCATTTATAGAGCCTGGGCACAACTCTTTATCATTAGAAATGGTTGCTGAGTTTGCTTAGAATGCAAGTAACATTTTTTTCATTCACGTATCTTGCTCCCAATTCTGAAAGGGCATTATTATTAGCATTATTTTTTAAACAACGGGGTGGGTCACCAAGGCATGCTTACTTGGGCCACTCAAAAACGACACCTAGGAACTTCACTGCTGCCTTGTGGAGAGTCACTTTCAGAGTAGTTAAGACTTCAGATTTTCTAGCATTAACAGGTCTGTCACCTGGGTCAACCAGCCTGCTAACCAATTTCTCTTTCACTTTAGGTCAACCGCCAGGCCCCCAGCTGCGGGGATTAGTGGACAATCTCTAAACATGAGTACTGGTTGAGAAATCAGCTTTCCAGAAAAAAAAAAACACCAAAAAAACAATGGATCAAGTAAATAGCTTTACGCTGGAGTTTTACTCGACCCACCCATTGTGACAGCTCCAGATACAAAGCAGGCTTTGGACTGAACCCCTCTCCCCCAAGATGCATTTGTAATCACGGTTGCAGAGTGGCTAAAGGCAAGGATATGAAAGTTTCTGCACAGAACATCTTATATCAGAGCTGAACTTTGGACTCAGCAATCTAGACAAGAAATGCAGAATGAAAATTAGCCAGCAAGGGTCGTGGGTGCACAGATCTCACGGACAGACACATTAGCACACCGAGGAATAAACCACGCCAGCAATCAAATTAGAATGTGCAAAGCTTGTCAGATTCCTCTAAAAAATGCCATTTGCTCTGCGGTTTTAAAATCATACCAAATTAACCTCCAAGCCCACATGACCTACAGGGCTTTGCAAAACAACAACATATTTACAGCCTCAAGTAATGAAGAAGTCAAGGCAGTTCCAAAGAGAATGTGCTGAGAAGGTGAACATCAGCGCAGCCAACCAATCAGTAAACGCTTCCCAGCACACACACTCACCAAATGCAATCTCAGAGTTGAGCTGCCAGATGTTACGTTTGAAAGGAAGCCAAGCTGGGTTTGTGAGAACACTTGCCAGACAGAAGAAAGTTACTCTTACATTAAAAATAATAGTAATAATAATAATAATAAAACGTCCTCTAGGATGGGTGATCTCTTCACTAGGGAATATGGCCACTGGCCAATGTTTCTCCCAGAGAAGCACTTTAGACCAGCGGCCGCCAACTGGTGGTCGGTGGACCACTGGTGATCAGTGAGGTCCGAAAGGTTGGCGACCGCTGCTTTAGACTACTTTTCAACTAATGGTTGAGAGCATAAGACTGTGCCAACTTACCCTGGCATCTGTGACCTTGAATTCTCTTAGGATATATTGTGGCATGTTGTATTCAGCCATGGGATCTACAACAAAGTACTGGTATCTTGCAGATCGTTCTGCTGGCCAGTATTGGTGACATTTCTCCTGAAAGGAGAGACGATTCATGTAAACTATACACCATGTAAATAAACTTTGTCTAGCATCTAGTTATCTATATAACTCTCTCATTAATAAAATTCAAGCCCATTCCAGTTGCATGTGACTCATTTTTTTCTTTGAACCAATAAGTCTCCTAAGGATAGGGAAATCCTATAGTTCAATCCTTGCCCATAGCATCAAGCATAGTACTTGGAATATAATTGGTAGAAATATGTATCTGTCAAATTGAATACTTCGAAAGAGTAAGCATCTTCATACCTACAAGTTATCCAAATAATTACATCAGTCCTTGGGCATAAGGTTGGTCCTGTCAATCACACATTGCATCCCTTTAGCAGACCTGGACCACTGTGGTTTGGGATGAAGAGAACCATCAAGTGTGAACGTTCAAAGAAACCTCTGAATTGATTGGGTCCAATCACTCTAGTCAGCCCAGGCAGTTTTAATGACTTAATGACCTTGTAGAATAATCAAGCCATTTTCCTAGTTCTTTTTCTCTCTCTTTGCGACCTAAAAGCTAGGTTTTAGATACATTTCTACAAAGAAAAGAGAGAATATCTCAAACATATATAGCAAAATGCTTACTTGCATCTATTGAATTTAAGGGGTGAGTCTTGATATATCTCTAATACTATTTTCTGAATATTTCCAGGGATCACTTTTTAAAAGTGGATCTGAAATTACCTTAGAAAAACAATGTAAATTTCCAACACTTTATTCAATGAGGGTAAATGGGGAGCAAATACGAATTTGCCTCAGGGATGAAAGTCAAATTAGTTCCTACAGAGACATGATGGCCCCTTTGCTCCTGAAACTCCAGCTTGCCCAGAGTGAAAGGAAATGAGGATGTGTTGAGAGCCAGGGTATAAGTCAAGGAGCATCTGCTTACTTATTTGTCTCTCGATTGTGTTTCACTGAAAAAAGAAAACTAGATCTTTCTTCAAAACACACAAAGAAAGAAGTGGATGTGGCCTTGTAAGTTAAAAACCAACCCAGAGTAATGAGTGGCCCCGTGTTTCAGGAGTACCCTGACTGTCAAAGAACGGCTCTGGCACTCCAGTCATTGACATGAAACCCCCACTTCTCCAGGATGGAAATGTCTTACGAGGAGACACTCACTCTGCCCATCTCACGCAGCTTGGTGAGCATCACCACGATGGTGGAGTTGTGTTCCCAGAGCATCCGCCAGAAGTCTTCCGTGGTCTCCGCCAAGGGTCCCTGGGTAGCGATGTAGGCCTTCTGTTGTCTGAATTACCGGGAATGAAAATAGCATGTTACAATAACCAGAGAACACACCAAGGTCCACATTTGCTATGTAAACATCCAACCCAGTAATAAAACTGAAAATACATCATTCATGTAATTGCAGTAAATGTCCATTAAGATTGTGTCATCAAATAACATTTATTACATTTTGGGGACTTAGCAAAAGAAACGGCTTTGTTAATATGATGATGTATGTCTCTCATTATTATTTAAATTTTAGCGCAACACTAATGGCTCAATTTCATGTGCATACAAATCGTTTAGGGAACAGTCGTGGGGCATCAATTTGAAGGCATGACTTTTACACAATCTATTAAATTTATGAAATATGGTACAAAACAGCTTTTTTTTTTTTTTTTATTAATTCCTTCTGAAGGAAGCATGCAGGAGGCCAGATTAACAACTCCATAATGGCTTCTTCTTACTTCTATCCAAAATAATAGAAAACAAATACCACGGGATTGACTGCTGACCTACGCAGAAAGAAAATGCTTTGACTTGAGATAAAATTCATTCTGGCTATGAAACTAGGGCACATGCAAATATCAAGGCTTCGGATTGTCAGGGGAACAAGAGTATATACCTGTATCCATCAATAAAACTGGCATTGATGTAATCAGATCCTTCTACTCCTCGGATAGGCTGCAGGCATACCCTTGTGGATTCATATGGCATAATATTAACAAGGCGATTTTTGAATTTATTACATGGAAGATTGGCACTGATGAATCTTGAGGTGTGAGCTTTAGAGCTGGCTAGACGCTGTTGAATAGAAAAAAAAGGAAAAATCTGACAAAGATAATGTTAGCCTATGGTTTGAATGCAAAATATCTGAGATTTCCTCTTTAGAGATAAAGCTTTGGTTTACTTCAAAGCAAATGACACATCAAACTGCACTGCCTTTCACTTCTACCTAATGGACTTCCTATAGCCTACTGAATTTTTAAATATTATGTTCAATGGGTATGATCTCTCAGTTTAAATTGGGGTACAAAAGAGCTCAAGGTATTAGGAAGCATGGAATAGAAGAGGAAAAGAGGAAGAAAGTGTTTTATAATCAGACACCTGAGGGAGGGCAAAGTCAAGTGAATCTTGACAAATTTGAAAGGGTCAGAAAGGAAAGCCAGGACTCAGACAATGTGCGAATGACTTGCTTCTGAATTACCACATCACCCCCAATGTCATACCTTAAATTCAAGCTCCATTCCCGTGACATTCTCTCCTGTCTCTATTTGTGTCAGCTTCTGAATGTAGGCATACAGGTTTCTCGCTGGCACTTCGGTATTTCCACAAGTCACTGCTTCCAACAGCGCATCGTGGATAAAGATGTACTGGTCCTCTGTTTGCACCATGTAATTCCTCTGGGCTCTCATTAAAGTTACATGGCCATAAATATCTGCAGTTTTTTCATGCTTTATTCTTTCTAACATGGCATCTATTACAATAAAACAACCAGTCCGGCCAACTCCCGCACTACAAGAAAGACAAAGAGAAAGGTTTAAATAAATCTTTTAGGAAGTTAACATATAATATAAGCATTTTCATTATTCTTGTGAACTAGGTTTCCAACCCATTAATTCTACTCAAATGGCTGTTGTGATGATTTTGGAGCACTCTAAAGTCAAGTATTATCAAGTCGCCATAAACAATGGGTGGGGAACAATGTACCAAGTGAAATTAGTTTGATTTCAACATGTAAAAATATTAAATCCATAATTACTATGCTCTTTGATCACATCATACAAACTAGACATTATTTTGAAACCATTATGAAAAAAAAAACCCACTAACATTTAGGCTCTTTATACTAGAAAAATATTTTTAAATGGTCAATATCTAACTAGGCTATATATTTTTGCAAATCATCTTAGGCTATTTTAGTTCAATTGACAAAAAAAGAACTAGTAAATCACTCGACTTGAAATATTTCCTATTTTAAAAGTCAGCAAAAAATTCTAAAACCAACCTAGTTTGAAGTGTGTAATTAAAATAGTAAAATGTTGTTGCACACTAAAAATAGTGCAGGGTGTTCTCAGTGGAGGAAAATCCTTAATAAAGAGCAAGCCCTAGAAAGTGTGGGCGTGTTTCTAGTTTTTACTCCCTTTTCTTTCAGAGTTGAATATATTGTGAAATTCCAGGTGAAATTCAAGTATTCTCTGTGGGAAAATTAAAGCTCCACTCTTAGTCTGAAGACATTCTGAGGCATTTTATAAACTCCATCCCTTTTGGACTTTATGGGTCATTTTTCAGTTGGTAGAAACTGATTCAAAGAAGAGGAGGTGAGAGAGTCAACAAAGCACAAAGACAAGATCTTCCGCTGCATGGAGACAATCTAACCTACTTAGCTGGATCACAGGGTCAGGTAGTAGAAACATTGGAATTTCCTCCTGTGTTGAAAAGTAAATTAACAAAATAACACATCTGTGTTCTTAAATCTCAAGGGGAGCCTTCTTTATCTTTTATCAAATCATTTAGGCTGAGTCTATTTATGTATCAAGTATGCTTGAATAGAAAATGCTTGGTCATGGATGGTTACCTGGCTGGGAAACATGTAATCAATAGGTACATATCACCAGCTTAGATACCATGCAACAGAGGGCCTCCTTCAATCACTACATGCCACTGTCTCCCATATGTGTTCATTTATGTGTGCACCTGTCCATCTCTTCATTCGATGAACAATGAAGCACTTTGCTAGGTGACAGAGGGGATACATTAGAGATGACTTAGGTCCTACCTTAAAGATCTCAGAGTCTACTCTACATAACTATTTATAAGACAAGAAATAAAGGATATTTTGGGTGTGATATGGCATTTGCACCAAGACTGGAGAACAGAAAGGATGGTGAATTGAGGTGGCTGGAATAGTAAAAGAGAAGGAATGGCTTTTGCAATTGTACTGCTGGCTCTGGGAGCTCCATGTGACACTTTCTAGACCTGGTGAGGCACCTATGCAGGGAACATACAAGAACTCCAAATGAATGAGTTTAATGAGCATGAGGGTGCCTGAGTCAACTTAAATGGCAATTTCTCTCCAGCCAAGTAGCTGCAAGGTGGTAAGTGAACATTTTGCAACAAGTAATACTTTTAAACTACTGAGCAGTATAGACCAAATCCAGCTTCCATACAGGAGACCTGAAGTTTGTGGAAGAGGTTACGTGGGATGATGAATATGACAGCTATTTAAAAATTGCTTACATCTCTTCATGTCCTGTCAGGCACAAAAAATGACTGTATCTAGTCAGAGAGCCTCTGGAAATGATTCTAAGACTCCATTCAAGGTTTAAACCACAAAATGACATCTGAGGTGGAATGTAAAATACTTCTGAGAGACAGCCTTAGAAATGACAGCACATTTGTTAGCACAACACAGTTGGGAAAACCCATGCACTGAGCACCACGGTGCCACACTTTATTTGGTTGGTTCTACCACATAAACCCGTGAAACGGTAAGTCTTCCCTGATACTCCCCACCCTGACAATCTCCACCCGCCCATCCCCCAGCAGGACTCATCACCCCATGGTCCAGATCCCCTGCTGTCTTAACACTCTACTACTGCAGTCCCAGTCACAACAAAGTATTAATTAGTCTGCCAGGGCCTCATCCACAAGTCATAGAGCATCTCCTGGGAGCAGAAACTGCATTTCTGTTCCCTTGGTGTGCCCTGCACCAAGCATGCAGTCAGTGCTCACCAATGTTGAGGGAGTAAGTGAATGGATGAGTCATTGGCATGGCAGGCCTCTTGTAATGAGCAGCCCACCCAGATTAAGTGAGCCTACTGCGGAGGCAGGGCTCTCCAGTCAGTGAGAGAAATCCCACATTTGACCACAGTTCAGAACTAGCAGAGTCCACCTGAAGGTTGCACCACCATCCCTTGATAGGCAATAGAGAGACAGGTAAATGCTTCGAGCCAATTCCATGTCATAATCTCTTGATATGCCACTGCATGGCCATGAATAGAAACTTAGTAAGACTTAACCTGGAAAAGGGAGGCAGCCCCCATGTTTGGCAGGCTCTAAGACCATGAATAATATATATTAAATCACACAATACGCATAATAACTAAGTCCTATATGTCAAATCAATTCTAGATAATGACAAGAATATTTTCTCAAAATATGCCCAGGGACCATTCCAAATGTGTGGATTATGCATCGTTCTATATGCTGGCAGAAAGATACCACAGAATCTTGCAAAATTGTTAGGAATAACTCTAGATCAAAGCGATATCAACCTTTTCATGGTGGTAATGAAGCATTTTGTTCCCTAAAAAAATAGGGAGGGGAAAAAAAATCAAATATGTGCCTGAGGTCTAAATCATGAATTGTGGGGAAACAAAAGAGAGAGATTATGATGGTGAAAAACCTACTTTTTCTCCCCCAAACATAAAATATTGTTAGCTGCCCAGCCTTAGTGTTCAGATGGAAGATGGGGAAAAAGCAGATCCTTGGAACTTGTGGTTCTAAAATAAAGAACCTCTTCTCTAAAATAAAGAGTTCTTAAGGGTTTCAGATGGGAGAGGTGTCTCTTAGCTTGAAGCAAGACCATGAGATTCAAGATACTTTTTCCAGATACCAATGGCTGGATGCCCTTGAGAGTCACTTAACCTTTCTCCTGTTTTTCTTAAATTCTGATAATTAACATAGTGATAATGTGTGAATAGTGATGATTAACATAAAGGAAGAGGCAGTTACTTTGTAGGTAAAGAATCCATTCCCTGAAGCTGACTGCAAAGAACAGACAATGTTAAATCTGGGAAAATTATGATAGAATCGCCACTGGATAACAACATTAGGCTTTCAAAATCTTGCTTTACCCTGCCTCCTTGAGCTGCTTCCCTTTTCTTTTCCTATTTCCAATAAATAATATCTACAGTTGGAGGAATTTTCTGCTTTCCCGTATACTGGGATGGTAAATGAGATGGCAGTAAAATGCCTTCCTACCCCAGGGCATGGTCCCTGGGAGGCATTCCGCAAATATGTCCATTTCCTTTTCCCTTCTGTGAGTCATAACATTCGGGAACTTCCCTGAACTCATTCCTAGAGCTAGTAGCAAACAGTCAAACAGGGACTCAAATGCCGGCTCTGAGATGCGACACTTTACACCACAGTTCATGGTACCGCCATTGTTTCACATGGCTTTCTGTCATTTGGGGCAGCAACAGCTGTCAAATACAGTGACTCTCTTGTGGCTCACCCCTCAATAACATCCCTTCAGTACTGTTTATTCTAAATGCAGTTTTCTTGAAAAGTCTTTCTTGGTTTCTAAGATACCGATTGGGGGAGTATGGAGAACGTCAGAGATACTTCCTTTAGGGTCAATGGTAGGAAGGGAAAAAATTTTTATAATTATCTCAAACACAAAATAAGCTAAAACATGTAACACATAACAGCAGCAAACAATAACAACCAAAAACTGTGACTCTGTAATGGTTATAGACTCCATGACCTTTTAGAAGTTCTATCAAGTTGGAAAGGAAAAATGAAGATCAACCTTGTTATCTTCAGAAATCTACCAAAACTCCTTTAGATTGCTCCTCAGTGAGGAATATTCCCCTATTGGATCTATGTGCTGATTATTCCATCTCTCTGGATTTTCCCATCTGTGGCTGTTTCCCTAATTTGAATACCCCTGTGAGCCCCCAAAATGTAGTTAAATATCCCCAAAGTTCTGTCCTGCTTTCTCTCATTCCCCTTCATGGTTCAGCAATACAATGGATTTCTAAAGTGATAGCATAAGGGAAGACATCTATTTCAAACTACCCTCAAATTTCTCAAGAAATACAAAGATTCTCAGATTAATATCTTCTCTGCTCAAATCTGCTCTTCTCACTCTCACTCTTTCAGGTCTAAAATTGAAGAACCAGCTTAGCCCGTGTTTGCCTCT